CACACATTGGTTGTAAACAGCTGAAACACTACCATAGTATGTGCCCAGTGAAAGGTGGGTCCCTATGTGCCCCTGGAGTCTCACTTTACCCTCTTAGGGAAGTTCCTAGGATTTTATACATGTGTGTACACACATATGTATGTATAATGGCAAGCTAGATGTTCCGCTATTATTTGCTTCAGTCTGTAGTTATGACATTTCATTTTCCTACCTTCTGTACTTTTCATCATCCCTGTTGTGTTGGTAATCCTTAACTACCTGATGGAGGCTTGAATGAGTTATGATTAACTGATTCTTCCTTTATATTGCTCAAAATTCCATTGTATGTATATACCACATTTTGTTTATTCACAATTGATGGACATTTGGTTGTTTTTCCTTTTTGGCTGTTATGAATAATGCTGTTATGGACATTCATATACATACTTTTTTTTCATTTCTCATTTTTATTTTCTCTTGTGCATTAACTATAGGAATTGAATGTTCGAAAAGTTACATTGTCTACAGATAAAAACAAATATGGCATTCGGCTAAGGGCAGAACCGGATCACATGGTCCTAGGGAAGCGTCTGAAGGGAGCTTTTAAAACGGTAATGACATCCATCAAGCAGTTGAACAATGAGGAGCTGGAGCAGTTCCAAAAATGTGGTAAGTGTCTGCTCAGACAAGAGCACCATTCATGTCCTCAGGCTGAAGAATTTTTTGTATTTAGGCTCCTATGTGACTTTAATATCACATCCATTTCTTAAATAAAACATTTTTCTGGTCATAAAAATGTTTACATTAATTTTGATAATTTAGAAAGAAAACACAAATGACCCCTAACCCTACCACCCATCCATGTAACACACATTGGGTACCTGCTGTCTGCTGTTTAATATGCAGCCCAGTAGGTGCTGGTGTACTGTTAAAATTCTGGTTTATTTCCCTCCAGTTACATTTATAGTCATATAATTATAGCCTTATAAAATGGAGATCACACTATAAATTTAAATTTCTCCCCTTTTGCTTTTTTCTATTTTTATATTTATGTTATATATTTTTTATTTTGTATTTTCACTTTACATTATAAACATCTTATGTATTTATACTGTTTGAAATGCTGTTTTAATAGCCACATACTTTTTTCTTCATGTAGGTACTTAATATTGCAACCTTAAATTCCTGGCCTCAAGCGATCCTCTCGTCTTAGTCTCCCGAGTAGCTGGGACTACAGGTGTGTATCACCACGCATGGCTGATTTTTCTATTTTTTGTAGAGACAGGGTCTCGCTCTTGCTCAGGCTGGTCTTGAACTCCTGGCCTCGAGCAATCCTCCCACCTTGGCCTCCCAAAGTGCTAGGATTACAGTTGTGAACCACCACACCAGGCCCGCTGTTTGCTTTTAACAATAATTACCAGAATCCACAATATAGACTTTTCTAGTTTAAAAAACGGGCTCACATAGCCTGTTTATTTCCTGGAAAATCTACTCATGTACCCTCCTGGCTGTGTCAACAGTTCTGCCTTCTCTCCCCCTCCATCTGTTCTGGACTTCCACTCTCTAACGCAACCCACTACCATCCACAGCAATACATCAGGATTGAGTCATATGCCAATTTCTACTGGTAGACAGAATATCAACATGTGACTACATAAAGTTAAAGTAAAACCTAATCTGAAATCTTTCAGTTGTTCAACGTAACTCAGAACTCACCTGTGTTTTTTCTTGAATAAGTATATTATCTGATGTAGAAACTGGATATGGTTTCAAGGGAGCCTTTATGGTGGCAAATATGAACTCGGTGTGGCTTTCTATAACATTATTCAGATACCTTCCTTCAGATGTTGCTTTATAATAAACTGTTATTTCATCAGTTGGAACCAGATTGCACTGAAAGCATATACAGAAAATTTCAAAAGGTAAAGACATTTTGTTAATCAAAATGTAAGGCATTGCTGAAGAAGGGCTGATGATCCCATGCTGAATCATCACAGAAGGGCAGTCACCTGTCCATCCCTCCTTGGGTGATCTATAAGACTAACTGCACTGCAGTATATGATTTGCTTTATGTTCTTTTCCCCACTCTTTGAGGTATGGCATGTGTCTTTCCTAGCACAACCAGCACCCCATGAATGATGAAACAAACAAATAACTGAGAACCCATTTACAGATCTCTGAAATTCCTCACTCTATCCCCCAGTTATCTGCTGGAGTGGCCTCCTCAGACCCTGGACCACAGGTCTCAGACATCTGGCCTGAGAAGGAAGATGTGCAGGAGGGAGCTAGCTGTCACTGCCCTCCGTGATAAGGGCATCCTGATTCTCTCATCTGTGGTGGGCTTCTTCGTAGTCCCTCTGCTCTCCAAGCATGGGCTTCTGTGTACCTTCTCCAGTCCCTAAGAAAAACTACCCTAGATTTGTCAGACCTACAAATTCTCCCTTGAGCTAAGGTGCCTTCTATATTGACTGTAATTCTCCCCTTCCTCAGAGACACTCACTGTCATCTCTGATTACCTTGCGCACCAGTCAAGAGGTTGTTTTGTGAAACCCAAGAGAACTGAAAAGGATTGGTAAGGGCACAGGTTGGCTAAAGCTATAGTTTGGAGTAAGTGGGAAAAAAAGACCTGTCTTCCCTGCAGAATACATACGAAGATGGATGATCAGGGAATCATTATCATTAACTGATCACTGTGGTTTATATTATCTGCCTCGCTTATCCTCCCCTAACAACCAAACCCAACAAAACAAAAATCCAAAATAGTAGCTTATTCTTAATTTGACAAACTGACCTTTTTGCGAAGTTTCTGGATCCGATTGATGACTTCTCCGGCCATTCCTTCATCCACCATTGACTGGTCAGGGTGACGTCTAAAAGAACCAGGGCCTGGAGGAATGAATAGTGCACACTATGACAATCAAATAAGAAGAAACACTTCTTTCAAACTCAGCAAAATGCTATTTAAAACTAAATTCTGAGAAGTCTATAATGCAGCATTATTTATTCACAAAACTGAGCAAAGGAAAAAATTAATCTAGTTTCTTTATCATTTGGTATTTTTATAACCACCATTTCTCCATCTCTGGAGAAAGGTGCAGCTTTTTCTTCCTTGTCTGTGGGGTACTGGTCACATGAGATGTCCTGAGATGCCTCTACGAAAGTCCCTCATATGACTCTGCTTCTTGCCATCTAAAACCTCAACATACATCTT